AGCAGTGCTGTTGGCAGACAGGGCACCAGGGGTCGTGGTGGGAGGGGCTGGGCGGGGGCACGGGGGATGGGCTGACACCCACCCCTGTGCCCATGGCAGCCTTGTGACCCACAGTTCCTTTTAAGGTGCACAAATTCATGCACTGGGCCGCTAGTATTATAATAAATTGATATAAATTAATATTGTTACATTGTTATTTAGAATTATCTTTTATATTATTTTAAAATATAAAATTTGAAATATATTGAGAATTCCAAAAGCTCTTTTTCTGATTGCTTAGTTTTTAAAGGGAATTTTTGCATTAAAGGATCCACAGTTATTAAAAAATTTGAGCATTTATCTTGTTTACAGTTACCAGTCATGATAGGTGATGTATTATTAACTGTTAACTTGAGCCATATCATCTATTAGGGAATGTTCTGAATCCTATGTCATGTACTAAGTTGGTATTCTAGGCATCTTTTTAATTCTAGCATATGCTATTAATTCTCAAAGAATGAGAATAAAATAAACTATAAAAATTTAAATTACATCCAGATTTATTTGATGATTCCAGATTTATTTAATTTCAGCATTTTGCACTGTTCTGAGGTCATTGTGTGCTGGTTATAAAGATTTCTGGTTAGTGGAATGCTGGATGTATTTGTTCTTTTGCTTTATTTTATTGCATCTTAAATAAAACAGGACAAACATAAACTCTTCCCTTCTAAAGCAGCATTAATTCAACTCTATGGAACAGCATAGAATAAAGTTACTAAACACATTAACTTGTGCTGCATTGCAAGTTATAACTTTGCTACTTTTGTCAAGGTCCTCCGTGTTCCTAATGTCTGTGGTCAATTTTAGTGTTTTTATATGACCTGCAGAAGCATTTGTCACAGGTGATTATTCTCTTCCCTTGGAAACAGTTTCTTGGTGCCTTCCAGGACACCACCCTCCCTTGATTTTCATCCTTCCTCTCTGGTCTCTCCTTCTCAGTCTCCCTGTTTGTCCTTGCTCTTCTCCTTGACCTTGTCATGCTGTGGTGCTGCAGGGCTTATTTCACTGTCTTCTCCATCTGTGCTCAGTCCCTTGGAATATCATCCTATATTATTTTCTTTAAAACCATCTATTTGCTTATAACTTTCACATTTAATATTTCCAGCCCAAGACTATTCTCCAAAATCCAGACTTCTGTAACCAACAGCTATTACACATCTCCACTTGGTGTCTAACAGGCATTGCAAATGTATCATGTCCAGAACTTAATCCAACATTTGCCTCCCCCTGCCACCTTCTCTACTTGTAGACTTCCCATCTCACTGCTTGCACCTGCTGCTGGCACCAGCCCCGCTTACACCCACTGCTGGTGCCCGCTGCCAGCCTCGATTGCTCGGCACCATCCGTGGGTGCAAGCAGTGACTGCCAGCCCCAATTACTTCTCCACCTCCCCCTGCTCCTGAGGGGTGATTGGGGAAGCAGCTGCCATTCACACCTGCTGACAGCACTGGCCCCACTTGCACCACTGCTGGCACTCGCCCCAATTGCTTCGCATTGTCAGCGGGTGCGAGCAGGGCCGACACTGAGAGTGCATGGGAGTGGTGGTGGCAGGAGCAGGGCTGTTGGCAGACAGGGCACCAGGGGTCGTGGTGGGAGGGGCTGGGCGGGGGCACGGGGGATGGGCTGACACCCACCCCTGTGCCCATGGCAGCCTTGTGACCCACAGTTCCTTTTAAGGTGCAAAATTCATGC